CCGAGGCTGGAGTGCAGTGGCCCGCTCACAGCCACTGCAGCCTCGACCTGCTGGACTCAGGCAATCCTTCCACTTCAGCCTTCCAAGTAGCTGGAACTACAGGCATGCACCACCATGCCTGGCTAATTTTTTGATGTATTGTAGAGATGAGGTCTCACCATGTTGCCCAGGTTGGTCTCAAACCCATGGACTCAGGCAACCCTCTCACCGTGACCTCCCAAAGTGCTGGGATTACAGGCTTGAGCTACCATGCCTAGCTAAAGTTACCACTTTTTAATGTTGTGGCTTTCCTTCCTTCCAAATGTTGCAATTGTCTGCCCCTTCCTCTGAAAAACTGTGAAAAAAAAAAGTTGTAAATTCTAAAATGTTATCTTAAAATGAGGATACTTACATAGAAAATTCTGAGTCACACTGAAACTACATGTAGGCTTTGAACTTCAGGGTAGGTGCAGGGTCATGAATTTGGGGTGTGAATATCAGAATAAGTTTGTGTTGCTTTGAGCTGGTTTTTGGTAATGATGCCAACCTGTCTCCCAGCAACCTGGTTGCAGAATAAATTAAACCTCTTTCCTCCCAGCTCTCTGCCTCTCGTCTTTGATAGGCTGTAAGGGAAGTGCCAGTTTATTGAATCAGACCACTAAAAAAGCAGCAGAAAGAAAGTTTGAGAAAAGTAGTTAAAATTCCTTTCCCTAGCCAGGAACGCACCTGTAGTCCCAGCTAGGAGGCTGAGTCAGGAGGACTGCCTGAGTCCTGGAGTTTGAAAACAGCCTGGGCAACATAGAAAGATTCCATCTCTTTAAAAATATCATTCCTATTGTAACAGAAATATAATACCTGGATATGAGCTTGAATGTCACCATTTCTGACAAATAACAGACTATCCTAGGAAACTAAATGGTTTCCTATAAACTAACTGGTTATTTAACTTCCATTCATGGGCTTCTTCAAAGGAAATGGCATGTAATCATTCTTCTGGAAGAGATGGACTTTCTAGAGAAAATTAAGTCAGCGATAAACTTGGAAAGAGGCTGAGTAGCACTACTGAAAAAACACCATTTATTCACTCCAAATTCTATTTATTCAAATTAACTGTGATTCACTACTTTGGAGAATCTAGTATCACAGGAGATATAAAGTTGGCACATACACAAGATGGCTTTATGCTAAGATAACCTACAGAGAAACAAAAGTAGTGTGAATCATAACCCAATAATTATCCTTAAAACCCAACTAGCAGGCATGTCATAAAAACACTGAATTAGTCTTCCTCAACACAAGATGGTTTGGAAAGCACCTAGCAACCATGCCTTAGAGGGGCGGTCCCTAACCTTTTTGGCATCAGGGACTGGTTTTGTAGAAAATAATTTTTTTTTTGAGTTGGAGTCTCATTCTGTCACCCAGGCTGGAGTGCAGTGGCACGCTCACGGCCACCACAGCCTCGAACTGCTGGGCTCAGGCGATCCTTCTGCCTCAGCCTTCCAAGTAGCGGAAACCACAGGTACCCGCCACCACATCAGCTAATTTTGTTATCTTTTGTAGAGATGAGGTTGGTCTTGAACCCCTGGGCTCAGGAAGTCCTCTTGCTTCAGCCTCCCAAAGTGCTGGGATTAAAGGTGTGAGCCACCTCGCCCAGCTTTCGCGCCTGGCTCATGTTAGCCAGGACAGGAGGGGGAATGGTTTCAGGATGAATCAATCACACACTTATTATGCACTTTGTTTCTATTATCATTACATTGTAACATATAACAAAATAATTATACAACTCACCATAAAAACAAGAGGTGTGGATGGAAGTGTAAATAAAATACTGGGCAGGCCACTCATGGAAAAAAATAAGTGTCAGGGCCCAGCATAGTGGTGCAAACCTGCAATCCCAGCACTTTGGGAGGCTGAGGTGAGAGGATGGCCTGAGTCCAGGGATTCAAGATCAGCCTGGGCAACTTGGCGAGACCTCGTCTCTACAATAAATAAATAAATAAAAATTAGCCAGGCATGGTGGTGCGTGCCTGTAGTACCAGCTACTTGGAAGTCTGAGATGGAAGGATCACCTGAGCTCAGCAGGTCCAGGTTGTGATGGCCATGAGCGTGCCACTGCCCTCCACACCTGGGAGTGAGACTCCAACTCAAAAAGAAAAAAAAAGGGTCAGATTCTGACTTAAAGCCTGCCTCTAAATGCAGTTGAACAAATAAAATATATCATCTCACTTGCCACTCACAGATAGGGATTTGATATGAATCTGCAAGCAACTGATTTATTATGGTCTCTGTGCAGCCAAACCTCACAGCTCATGTTAATCTGTATTTGCAGTCACTCCCGAGCTAGCATCACCACCTCAGATCATCAGGAATTAGATTCTCAAAAAGAGGGTGCAACCCAGACCCCTCGCATGCAGAGTTCACAACAGGGTTCACACTCCTATGAGAATCTAATGCCCCCACTGATCTGACTGAAGCTCAGGCAGTAATGCCAGCGATGGGGAGCGACTGTAAATATAGATGAAGCTTCACTCGCTCACCGGCAACTCACTCCTGATGTACGGCCAGGCCCTACACTGACATATTTATACATGGTACTGACTTCCTCCAGGCCAGTGTATCCAGACAAGAGCAAAGTCCAGGGTTATTAACCATGTGCCAGCTCTACTTCCAACTCCTAAACACCTTGTCAAATTTGACATTTCCCCCCTAAAATGGTTTCCCCTCTCCCACAACTGGTTTCTATTCTCTTTTTTTTTTTTTTTTTAATGAGTTATTTCAGCCGGGCATTGGCTCAAGCCTTTAGTCCCAGCACTTTGGGAGGCCGAGGTGAGAGAATTGTCTGAGCTCAGGGGTTTGAGACCAGCCTGGGCAACTTGGTGAGACCTCATCTCTACAATAAACCAAAAAATTAGCTGGGCATGGTAGCACGCCACTGTAGTTCCAACTACTTGGAAGGCTGATGCGGGAGGATCGCCTGAGCCTAGCAGGTCGAGGCTGTGGTGGCCATGAGCATGCCACTGAACTCTAGCCTGGGCAACGGAGTAAGACCCCAACTCCAAAGAAAAAAAAATCATTTATCCTGAATTATTTATCAATGGTAGAAATACCATTGATGATGTATAAAGGTTGAGCTTTCTCTTTCTTTTGAGACAGGGCCTCACCCTGTGGCCCAGGCTAGAGTGCAGTATGCGATCACGGTTCACGCAACTTTGACCTTCTGGGCTCAAGCAATCCTCCCACCTCAGCCTCCTGAGTAGCTGGGACTACAAACATACACCACCGTGCTCAGCTAATTTTTTTTTTTTTTTTTAGAGATGAGGTCTCAATATGTTGCCAGTGTAGGTCTCAAACTCCTGGGCTCAAGCAATCCTCCCAGTATGAGCCATCATACCTAACCCCCTCCCTTTTTTTTTTCCTGTTTGAAAATGGGTTTGAGCCGGGCTCGGTGGCTCAGCCTGTAATCCCGCACCTTTGGGAAGCTGAGGTGAGTGGACTGCCTGAGCCCGCGGGTTCGAGACCCGCCTGGGCAGCGAGACCTCATCTCTACAATAAATCAAAAAATCAGCCGGGCGGGGTAGCGCATGCCTGTAATTCCGGCTACTCGGAAGGCTGAGGCGGAAGGATCGCCGGAGCCCAGCGGGTCGAGGCTGCGGTGGCCGGGAGTGGACACTGCACTCCAGTCTGGGAGACCGAGTGAGACTCCAACTCAAAAAAAAAAAAAGAAAATGGGTTTGGCACTGTCATTCAGGCTAGAGCACAATAATCCTTCTCCCTCAGCCTCCTAAGTAGGTGTGACTACAGGCACTCTAACATGCCTGGCTAATTTTTTTCATTTTTATAGAGATGGAGTCTCTCTGTGTTGCCCAGGCTGGTCTTGAACTCCTGGCCTCAAACCATCCTTCCTCCTCAGCCTCCCAAAGTGCTGGGATTATGGGTGTAAGTCACTGTGCTTGGCTTTAAGGCTCATTTTATTTTTCTTAATTTTTATTTTTTAAAAATGTGGGGGACAATTCAGGATTAGGTTTACAAGTGGTCGTTGCAAAGGTAAATTTGGGCCTCCTTTGGTCCCCACCAAAGTTCATTTCAAAAGAGGACTGACAAAACCACAATGGTGATTTTATTGTATGCCTTAAGTATAACAGAAAGAAGCACTGCCCCCTCCCAGTTTAGGTTACTCATTTTCTTCGTGTTCCTGAATTCAATCTCATTTAATTTATTTGAAAATACCATGCTCTTATCTCATGGGAAGGACATCTGTCATCATCTCTAGCAGCCCCTAACAGAGTGCTAGTGACATCATGGGCTCGGGGGCAGGCTACTTAAGGTAAATCCTGGTTCTTAAGTCCACAGGTTCGAGACCGGCCTGGACAACTTGGCGAGACCTCATCTCTACAATAAACCAAAAAATCAGCCGGGTGTGGTGGCACGTACCTGTAGTACCGGTTATTTGGAAGGATCTCCTGAGCCCAGCAGGCCGAGGCTGCGGGGGCTGTGAGCATGCCACTGCACTCCAGCCTGGGCGAAAGAGTGAGACTCCAACTCAAAAAAAAAAAAAGTTTTAAGTAAAAAATATTTCAAAGAAAAAGTCTTATAGAGTAAGGATTTAAAGAAAGAAAATATATTTGTATAGTTGTACCATGCGTTTGTGTTTCAAACTAAATATTACAAAAGAGTGAAAACGTTTTTAAAAATGAAAAAGTTAGGCCAGACGCAGTGGCTCACGCCTATAATCCAGCACTTTGGGAGGCCGAGGTGAGAGGATTGCCTGAGCTCACAGTTTCGAGACCAGCCTGGGAAACTTGGCAAGACGTCATCTATACAATAAATCAAAAAAATTAGGTGGGCGTGATGGCGCTTACCTGTAGTTCCAGCTACATGGAAGACTGAGGCAGAAGGATCACCTGAGCCCAGCAGGTCGAGGCTATGGTGGCCATGAGTGTGCCACTGCCCTCCAGCCTAGGCAACTGAGTGAGACTCTGACTCAAAAAAAAAAAAAAAAAAAAATCCTGTCTCCACCAGCTGCTATCGATATGACTTAGAGCGAAGCTATCCAAGTGCTATCTGCTTCAGTCTCCTCATCTGTAACCCGAAAATAGCAGGCTCACCTTTAGTTAACACATAACTAAAGAGTTAAGCAATAAATATAATGCCTGGCACAAAAAATGCTAGAACCTAGCTTTTCCCATTTTAGTACAGCTAGCCAGAAATAATAATTCTATCATGGTTCTAAAGTAGCTTGGGCAGTCAGAGATAAAGATGTTAATTCCAGCCAGGCTCAGTGGCTCAGCCTGTAATCCTAGCACTTTGGGAGGCGAGGTGAGTGGATTGCCTGAGCCCGCAGGTTCGAGACCTGCCTGGGTGACTTGGCAAAACCACATCTCTACAATAAATCAAAAATTAGCCGAGCATGGTAGCTCACGCCTGTAGTTCCAGCTACTTGGAAGGCTGAGGCGGAAGGATCGCCGGAGCCCAGCGGGTCGAGGCTGCAGTGGCCGGGAGCGGCCACTGAACTCCAGTCTGGGTGACAGAGTGAGACTCCAACTCAAAAAAAAAAAAAAAAAAAAATAGATGCTAATTCCTTGTCTTTGTTTCTTTCAAAACAGAGACTTGATCTGTGTGAAACTGATGTTCCAGTTAGTTTCGCCATTCAGTTGGAAATATACATTTTGGAGAGTGAGACTCTTGACTTTTTAAGTGTTTTTAATATTGTTTTAACATATATACATATATATATATATATTTTTT